TAGCGTCCGAGTAAATCCATACCGATTTGCTGGAATGGGGCAGATGGCGGCGCAATAGGCTGAAGAAGTCCTGCCGGCCTCGTCGGTGGCTTCTTCCGTCGTTGACACTCGTGGCAAGATCGGGTGTAGTGGTGCACTGTCTTCTCAAGCTTGGGTCAGTAGTACTTTTCGCGTATCCTGGCAAGAGTCCTGCTGTAACCAAGGTGTCCCGCCGTCAGGTCATCGTGGCAGGCTTGAAAAATTTCTTTTTGAAGACTGGAAGGGACCACCAACAGCCACGCCGCGCTGTTGTCGCTGCAGTTCTCCTTGTAGAGCACACCTTGTCGGATGGAGAAGGTTGGCAGTGTTCGTACAAAACCGCACGGAACGGCGCTTCCTTGTCCTTCTAGGTGCTCGATGAGTGCTCGCAGCTCAGGGTCGTCTCGCTGGAGTGCTGCCATGTCGCTGACATCCAGAGCGCCGAGGAAACACTCGTCGTCGTCCTCTTTGGTGCAGGAGGGACCGGCCTCGACTGGGGCCCTCGACAGGCAGTCGGCATCATTGTGCTTCCGGCCGGACTTGTACACCACGGTCATGTCGAACTCCTGCAGTCGTAGGCTCCACCGAGCGAGGCGTCCGGAGGGGTCCTTCAGGTTCGCCAGCCAGCAGAGCGAGTGGTGGTCTGTGACCACGCGAAAAGGACTTCCATACAAATATGGGCGAAACTTTGTTATTGCCCAGACGGCAGCGAGGCACTCCTTTTCAGTCGTTGAATAGTTCGTCTCCGCGTTAGACAGCGTCCGACCTGCGTATGCGATAACTCGCTCTGCACCGTCCTGCACTTGGACTAGCACCGCACCCAGTCCGGTGTTACTGGCGTCGGTGTGGATCTAGGTTTCAGCAAACTGGTCGAAATGGCCAAGAATCGGGGGCGTCTGGAGTCTTCCTTTGAGCTCGTCGAATGACCTTTGGTGTTCTTCTGTCCACTCGAACTTTACGGCGTCCTTCGTGAGGTGTGTCAGTGGTGCGGATAGTTTGGCGAAGTCTCGAACAAAGCGCCTGTAGTAGGCACAGAGCCCGAGAAATCTTCTTACTGCCTTTTTGTCATACGGCGGCGCAAATGCAGCTACGGCGCGGGTCTTCTCGGGGTCAGGTAGAACACCTTTGTTGTTCACGACGTGGCCGAGGAACTTTAGTTCCCATAGGCGAACTGACACTTTGTTGGCTTGAGTGACAGGCCGGCGGTCTTGATGGCTTGAAGCACGGCTCGAAGTCGTCTGAGGTGTTCGTCGAAATATCGTGAGAATACCACGACATCGTCCAGGTAGACGAGGCAGCTCTGCCATTTCAGACCTGCCAGCACGGTGTCCATGACGCGCTGGAAGGTGGCTGGTGCTGTACAAAGTCCGAACGGCATCACTTTGAATTCGTACAGTCCGTCGGGAGTGACGAAGGCAGTTTTCTCGCGGTCATGTTCGTCGACTTCAATCTGCCAGTAACCACTCTTCAGGTCCATCGACGAAAAATATCGGGAGTGGCGCAGTCGGTCTAACGTATCGTCGATGCGGGGGAGCGGATAGACGTCCTTCTTCGTCACAGCGTTCAGTCGACGATAATCCACGCAGAACCGCAGGGTCCCAACCTTCTTCTTTACAAGGACGACTGGGGACGCCCATGGACTTCTTGAGGGTTGAATGATGTCGTCGTCGAGCATTTCCTGGAGTTGATCTTGAATCACTTTCCTTTCCTTTAAGGAGACTCGATACGGCGACTGGTGGACAGGGAATGCGTCGTCGTCAGTAATAACGCGATGTTTCGCCATTGCTGTTTGGCGAACTTTCGATGTCGTGGCAAAAGGAGTCACTGTATTCGGCGAGGAGGACAACCAGTTGCCGGCGCTTCGGAGCTGGGAGCTCGGGGTCGATGTCAAGCGGCGGCGGCGTCGTGCTCTTCTGCTGTGGCGGCGAGGCTTCCTCGGAGATTGCGGTGACCACGGCTGGCGCCTGAAGCTCCTCGATGTGACCCACGGTGGTACCCTTCGTTAGGTGCTGCGGCTCCTCGCGAAAGTTCGTCACAAGAACAGTTGTACGTCTTTCTTGGAGATCCGTCACGCCTCTTGCGACACCAATTCCTTTTTCGAGGAGCAGTTGGACGCTGCCTTCCAGAAGAGCTTCACCGTGCATGGCTGCGTCGGTTATAACGGTGACGAAAACACTCGACCGCGGCGGTAGGTTCACATGGTCGGCGATAAGTCGGATCGCGGTTGACGTCGTGTTGATCTCCACCGGCGGCACGACGGGCTTTCGAAGCGACAACTGGTTCGCAGCGAGGTCGATGACGGCGCCATACTCGCAGAGAAAGTCCATCCCGAGGATAACGTCCCTCGAACAGTCTTGCAGAACGACAAACTTCACAGGGCACGTCTCACCGTGGATCTCGCCGCGAGCAGTGCACCTCCCGACTGGTGTGATGAGGTGCCCTCCGGCGGTTGGTATTTGAGGTCCATCCCACGGCGTCGTGACTTTTCGAAGGCAGCGGGAGAGCCTCCCACTCAAGACTGAGTAGTCTGCTCCGGTGTCCACGAGTGCCGATGCGTCGTGGCCGTCGATGATGACGTTTAGGTTGTTGGACACCGTTTCAGGAGCGTCGTTTCGGTCTCCGGTAGCGTTCGTGGGGGGGCCCTCCGACGTTCGTCGAGGATCTTGACGTCGGTCGTCTTCGGCAACTCCACCTCCAGGAGTTGCCGCGCCTAGTTTCCCCGGCGTGGAGCGAGGGGCGACAGGCTTTCACGTCGGGGTCGGTGCATCGGCGAAGCTGGACGTCGTGGTGAAGGCGACCGGAACTCTCGGCGGGACGCAGGCTCGGGGGACTGAGGTCGTTGCAGATACTCGTCGATCTCCCGAGGGCGTTCACCATACCGGGGGCGTGGGTCGTTAGGGTGGAATCCACGCAGCCCGAGTCGACGGTATGGCATCGGCGGTACACATGGTCAGCTTCCCCGCAGTGGTAACACAGCGGGCGTCGGTCGGCCGTCCTCCAGACGTCTGTCTTCCTCGGCGCAGGTCGGTCTGGGTGAACGTGCGCCTGATCTTCCTGTCGTCGGGGATACTGCGGCGTTGGGGCGTCTCTTCGGGGTGGCGCCGTGGCTTGGCGGGGAGCTTGCGGCGGTCGTCGGGCTATGGCAGCATAGCTCAACGTCTGTTCCTCCGGTGAAACCGTGGTGACGGGAACCTCTGGTTGGAGCGCCCGTTGTACTTCCTCGCGCACAGCCTCGGCAATGGAGAGTGTCGCTGGACGACTTGCGGCTGGCAGCAACTGGCGGAGTTCCTCCCGGACGACCTCCCGGATAATTTCGCGGATGTCCATACCAGGAGCGTTCTCGCCGCCAAGCAGCGCGGTTGCAGCGACACTTGGATGTCGCTGGTAGTGGGAAGCGCGCGCTTGGAGGGCGCGCTCGATGTTTGTCGCCTTGGTGAGAAAGGCTTCGACGGTGCCCGGCGGGTTTCGCACGAGGCTTCCAAAGATGTCGTCTCTCACCCCGCGCATGAGGACCCGTAGCTTCATTTCGTCTTTGGCTCGTGGGTCGGCACGGGCGCTCAGGCGGAGGACATCTTCTACGAAGCTTGTGACGCTTTCGTCGGGGCCCTGCGTTTGAATTCGGAGGAAATCTTCTGCCTTCTCCCGTCGGTGTAGGGTGGCGAACGTCCGCTGCAACTCGGCCACACAGATGTCCCACGACGTGAGCGAAGCCTCGTGATTCTCGAACCAATGCCTCGCAGTACCCTCCAGCGAAAAGTAGATGTTGTGGAGGCACTGCTCCGCAGTCCATCCGTTGTGGCGTGCCACGCGCTCGTAGTGCTTGATCCAGTCTTCGACATCCTCGTGGATCTCGCCGTGGAAGGGAGTCGGCGTACGGGGAGCGGCGGGCAGGTAGACGACAGCAGGAGCGGCGGGGGTTGGCGACTGGTTGGCCATTGTCGGCTTCGTTGGCTGCTTGGTCCTGGGCGGCAGAAGTGCGAATTCCGGGTGTAGGCCTTGGGTGCGACGACTGAACCGGATCTCGGTAGTGACTTCGTTGGTTCTTCGTGTGCTTGGCGTCGGACTTGCACTGCGGGCCCTCGGAGGGGTACGCGGCAGGGGCATGTGTTACCCAGCACCTCCACCAAAATGTCACGGGTAGTGACCAAAAACAATAAATAAACAAGAAGAAATAAACGCTTAATGTGGCGAACTTGTGCCAAAAATAGAAGGGTACAAAAGGTAATAACAGAGCGTCGTGGGCGTCGAAGTCGGCGTGACAACAGAGTCGAACGCTGGGGTGAGACTGAATGTAGATCGCCACGCGGAGCCTCTTATGTACACGTGTGGGCTTCTGGAATAATCGGCGTAGAAGGTTCGGCGTGTAGAACATTCCGACCTCGAACAAGCAACATGGTTCTCGAATTTACCAGAACATTACTTTATAGAGTCAACAAAAATGTGCCTCTGCGGCCAGGAATCGAACCCTGGCTTTCAGCGTGGAAAGCAAGCGCGATAACCGTTAGGCCACGCGCGCGCTGCCTACTTCGCCAGCTGCGCGCGCGGCAATATGATACAGGGTAATTTGCGACTGTGTCTCTGTGATTACACTTCATTTAACGAAACAAGGCCACTAGAGGCCAACACCAATTAACACTTGTCGAACCATTGTGTTGAACCACTTTGTTCAAAGCATCCTTGTTTCCTAGAACCACGTGTGAGTGGAATAAGCTTCTTGAAAGTGTTGTAAATTTGAGATCATTAGATACTTTTAGTGAAGCACTACTCTCGCACTTTGTTGAGTAGTGGCTCTTTCTGTTTGTACTTGTTTCGCTTGTTTTTGAATATTGTTTTTGTACACCTCCTGCCTGGGCGTTCCACAGAATGCTGGCAGTATCACCAAATAAATAAATAAATAAAAAATAAATAAAATATAGGCGGGCAATAGCTCACCTTGAAAATATTTGCTCTTGGTGGCCGAGAACAAACTCGTGTTCCTGATTGGCAGCCATTTGCTACGAAGAATACCTGCACATATCCTAAAGAACCCAGTCTTAGTCTAACACAGATGCTTTGGCCGGACAGAGACACAAAAGCCTGACACAAGACCACTATAAAGACAGGAAATAGAGTGTTTGTGAGGAACGAAACACACAACTCAGATAGGCATCAATCACTCACCTTGAAAACATTTGCCATCAGTGGCAAAGAGCAGACTTTTGACCTTGATTGGCTGGTGCTTGACACCAAGACCTGCATGTATAAGAAAGAACCCTGTCTTAGTCAAACTTGGGTCTTTTTGCAGAAGAGACACAACAAAATACTAATGCAAGACCACAACACATAGGAAATGGCACCTAAGAGGAATGAAACACAAAACTCATATAGGCGGGTAATAGCTCACATTAAAAATACTTGCTCTTGGTAGCCGAGAACAAACTCGTTTTCCTGATTGGCAGCCATTTGCTGCGAAGAATACCTGCACATATCCTGAAGAAACCAGTCTGAGTCTAACACAGATGCTTTCTGCGGACAGAGACACAAAAGTCTGATACAAACCACAAAAAGCAGGAAATAGTGTCTGCGAGAGATGAAAACAGACCCAGGTAGAGAGGCTTGTTCTTTTTCACCTTAGTCAAATAGTGTAGCTCCTTTTGCTAAAACAATGCATATTTGCTAAAAAATGTATAATATATATTTTGTCCCATTTAGCAGAGTTTACTGCCAAGGGTACCTGCACACCAGAATAAGTCAGACTTAGTCAGTTTTTTTTTTTTCTTTTTATGGGCGAGAACAGAATCCTAAACGGGTGATGAAAAAAATATAAGCCTACCAAGCCAGGCTAGTGTGCCTTGATGCAAGTGCAGTGCCTCGGCCGACAAATGAGGTTCTATTCTTGGTCACTTGTCATATTTGGTGGGAATAGTAAAGTAAATGAAAATAAGGCTATCTCTCTTGCAGCCGACAGCTGCAAACAAAATTTATATATTTCGATCAACGACCTAAAAATAAAATTGGGTGGTGGCCAAGCGGTTTATGGTGTCAAATTTCAAATTTAGACTGTGTAGTACTGGTTTAAGTCCTCCTGGTGTATATTTTTATCCTTATTAATTATAATTAAACTTTTTTTTATTTTTGAGGCATCAGCACATCATTTATACGCTAATTCACCTTTAGAAGCGTTTTAAGAATACTCCACGACTTCCTAGTGCTCGTAATAAAATCTCATTAAGAGCAGCTTTCAATTTTTTTCTTGCTCTCGCTGCTGCTTGCTTCCTCACCCTTAAGATGGGGCGCACCTCAGAGCCCCATAGAGAATACATGAGGTTTTTCACCAAATTAAAAAAATTCTCACATAATAACGGCTGCGCGGATCTTCTTGAAAATTTCGGCTTTAAAGACATTGAGTCATTATCGAGTCACTAAACGCAACAGATGTTTCGTCATAAATTTAATTATATTCTTTAAAAAATCATGAAAATGGTCAAAATCGGCTAATTCGGCACTCTTGCGTTCGGAGTGAATTTACAAAATTATCTAAATTCAAACATAAGAAGAATTGCGTTTAATGTCTTCTAAATTTATTACGGAATCGAATAATATTCAAATTATTCATGTAAGTCGATTTGTTCCGTAACTACAGCAAATATAAAGAACCAAGGTGTCGGTGCTTGTTTTCGTCGTTTTTAAGGTACCTCTCTCTCCCGTGCGGTGGCGCTCGCTGTCCACGATATGCGAAATCGTCCGTTCGGAGATCGGCCGGATCGGCACTGTGCGAGGTGTTCTTCCACGGCCGTATTCCGCGCCCGTATCCTGTTTCATTCTGCACGCCGAGGCGTCAGTGTGCGTGTCTTGCTTTCCTGGTTCTCGCTGGGTAGGTCTCCGTGTTTTCGCAAGTGGCAAATTCACCTTGGAGCTATGGGTCGAAGACAACCGTCCTGTGGCAAGCGGACCGCGAGGTGTTCCACAACCTCGCGGTCCGTCAACGCGTCGTGCTTGTTTCTACTTTTTTTTTTTTTCTTTTAAAAACGGGTTTTTTTTTTTTGACGCAAAGTTTTATTTTATCGTTATCCTTCACACAAACGTCCTTCGGCCTTGGGGTCGTGGAAATTGGGGATGAAGCGTGCACAGAGTAGATCGTTGTTTGCCTCCTTTTTATTTTTCACGGACGTCCTGTGACCTCCGTACGGTTCGTGGTCACCACAATCTAACGCGGGGAAAAACGGGTCGCCTGCTCTGTAGTCAGGGTATTCCTAGGGGAGGGTGATAACTCGCTGTTCTTCTGGAAATTCACATATCACCCAAAAAGGTGACATGGGTAATGATTACGGTATGTTTTTTTTCCGGTGTTTATTTTGAGCGAAAATTGGTGCATGTTTTTCGGTGCTTATTTTTTAATCACCAGTGTATTATGGGTTGAACGTCTTGTGATGACGCTAAAAAGCGTTGATAACCAAAGAAAAATGCGATTGGACAAGAACATTTCAAATTTCCAATTCTATTCACATATCCATTACGCTCTTCTCGTGGGAGCATCTATCCTGACGAAAAATGCCAAAGTCATTGAGCTGTGAACGCATACTCAGTGTACAATCTTTCGGCCTAGAGAGGTATTGCGCACGCTCGAACGCGCTTCACAGCCCAGTAGACGAAGTTGGTGGCACCCAGAAGGCGAGTTCGTGAATGGTCTGTAGTAGGCAAAAGAAACAAATAACAATCAACGCATATCAGCTCTTCAAGCGAAGAAGCGCGTTTCTAAGGTCAATGGTTCCGGACGGCACTAATGTTGTTGGCGTTGTCGTAAGATGACGTCAGTTCATACGAACTGACGTCATCTTACGTGATGACGTGACACAAACACGTCATCTTACATGATCTCGTTACACGAAATGACGTCATCTTACGTGATCACGCTGCACGAAATGACGCCATCTTACGTGACCACGTAACACGTCATCTTGTAAGTCAACCTCTCCCCACAGCAGCGCGCTCCGCGCTTTCCGGGCCCGTGCAGTGCTGTAGTCGAAAGCAAGCTCCCTATGGCAAGCGAAAGCTTCTGAAGTCTCACATTGAGAATACTCGCTAGCGACCGTCTGTGGAAGCTTCGCACTTTGAGGTTTTTGTCGAGATCGAGCCATCGTGTTCCATTAACTATAGTTGAAGTTATCGTTCAATAAAGCCCTAAAAAATATGAATGTAGTTGGTGTAGACATCAAGATCTAATCAAAAATGCGGTTTGACGTCAATTAACGTGCATACACAAGTGTAGAAAAAAATGAGTTATTTGTGCATAGATGTTTAAAAAAGTGTTTATTATTCGACATAGGACTTTGGGAGAAGGATGTGTTCAGATTTTTCTTCATGAGCGCAAATATACCTGACGCAATAAATAGTGACGATTTCATCGTCCCAGTGGTGAGCAGGTGATTTCTTGCTCGAAACAATGATGCCATTTCATAAACCAAGTTCTGTGACATATGTTTTTCCAATGTCTGGTCACTATTTTGTAAACCTTTCAGTCCAAACGAGTATACTTCTGTTTGTTTTTGTTAGCTTAGGAGGGGGTCACAGAGCCTATCTCTTTGTCTTCCTCTAGGACAGACGTACAGAGTTATACCGCAACACGCATCTGTGGAACACACAGAGCTAGCGCTCTCCTGTTGGCGGTACAGTAGCAGACGACACAACGCAGCTCCGTAGTCTATCGAGGGCACGGCTAGCCGCGGCCCGTAGCGCGACCGTTCAGACTTGGGAAATGGTTTTGAAGAACCGAGAAATGGTATCTTGTGTACAATAATCACATGTCGTTAGTATACTAGTATTCTACTTGCTAAGCCAAATAAATATTTGCAGCTTGTGAGAATATGTTTGCGTGACGATTTACCGTTCACACTCCTGACGGATGTTAGCGAGTCCTTCATGTTCGTGGCTCGCAGTTATCGGTACCCCCTCGGAGTGACTTCACCATATATATTTTTTTCTTGCTTGCAGGACATCATAAAAATCACAAACACGCGAGAAAAAAAAAATCTTATGAGTACGCGTGATTTTGAGCTTCGCAGCTCTAAAGATGCCCGGTAAATGTCGTCCAGTCTGTTTTGTCTATACTCCGTTTCACCGTAATTTGGCAACCCTCAGTCGCGGAGCAAAGCACGTGACAGCTACTTTTACGAGCAGTACTATGGCACCTGCAGCGCGTCTCCGATTGGTGTGGTTAGCGTCTTATGCTGGCCATACATCAAAAGTTGTCCCGAAGTGCAACAAATGACGTCACAAAAGACGGAGTGTCACGCTGTTGCATCTCGCGATCCTGGCAATTCATCGTAGAAATGCTGGCGAAAACCACGAGGGAACACGAGTGTCGCTGTCGTCATGGCGTCCCAACGAAAGGCAATTATACAATTTCGACGTTTTTGTAATTCGGTAATTTAAATTACTGTATATAATTTTTAAGAAAGTAAAGACATCATAACCAAATAGGAACTTCCGTGCCAAAACATGCAGTGCGAAGTGAAGACAACTACTATCTTTTTTTTTTCTTGATGTCCACAAAAAAAAAAAGGCTATGCAGCATCGATCCTACCGTTTTTTTGTTTTTTTTTTCGCACATTATGTGATGTCCTCCAACACGAAAGTACCGACGTAAAAGCGCTGTAGAGACGATATAAAAACAAAAATTTAAGGGAATCGAGCTTTGTAGTACACGGAAAAAAATAAATAATTAACGACTTTTTACGGTAAACACTTCACCTCTAAGTAGAACTTCAAAAAAGTGACGGTTACGCGCTTTCATGCCCATTTCAACAAAGTTGGGAGAACGATGTATTGCATCTTGTGAATAGACATGTGGAGCAGCATGTTTATGTTAGAGGCATTGTGTGTAATCGCTGCGCAGTACCTGCCAAAAGAAGATATTATTTGGGCAGTCTCAACCGTTTCCGTCTGTGTGTGCTACGAATACAGCAACTCTTTTCGTAGAAGAAGTGATGAGGAAATGGCGTGCCCTTGATGATACATTGTGATTATGAAATAAAATTTTTAATCAGCCAATAATTGCGACCTGTCCGGTCGCCTGGAACCCCGACAACAACTATCGTTCTCTGGAAAGTTCATTCTAATATTTACACGTTTTGTGGAGTTCATCGAGCGAATAAGAATGTTCCAACGATGAGCTAAACCTACACGAGTTCCCCAATCCAACTCGGCGCTTTTGAATTTTAGCGCCGTAGATAGTTCTGCGAACAGAGTATACT